AAAAAAAAAAATGTCAGGCTGCGTTTTGAGGGCTCCGGCTCGGCCTGGGCGAGCCACTGTTGGCTTTGTCCAGGAGTGAGAATATATTCAGGCAGTGATCCAGAAGTACATGTGCCAACCATGTTTGCACATCCAAGGCTGGATTACTATCAGAACTCACTCTCTGGACCTTTAGTCCTGGGGGATGTTATGCTAGGTCTTGGTGCTGAACCTGGTCCTGCAGTCTGAGGGCTACACCTCTCCTGCTTCTTGCAGGAAGACTACACCTCGCAGTGGGAGGTCATCATGCTCAGGCTATCGGGAACAGGTGCACAGGCTCAGTGTTAGCACCCAGCATGACCTTCCCCCTTCCTCTCCCCCAGGAAGAAACCTTGGAAGAGGGGGAAGGTGAAACTAGGCACCACAATTCTTGCTGGGCCAGCTTGGAGAGCGCTCAGGAGGGAGTTGGGGCTGCTCCAGGATCCATTGCTGCAAGTGCAAAGCCCACTGAAGAAGAGGCCCGGTGCCTGGATCTTGCACAGAGCCCAATCTAACACCAGCAGCTTGGCAAAGACTCTTGGTGTCCTGGTGGAGCAAGTGCAACCCTCCTCAAAATTGTAAGTGTGCCCCCCCCCGTAATGTACAGTTTGAGAACCCCTGCAATAAAGATTGAATTTTTTTAAAAAAATGGAAAGAGATGATTGGGCTAGAATTACCCGGGGGGTGGGGGGTGGGCTTGTGGCATCTACATGTGTCTGATTCAGGCTTAAACCACTAGCAATGCATTTTAGCATACTTCCAGCTTTCATTTCAGATCATGATTAATGGGCTTCCCATTTAATCTCATGCCAAGCTTCCAGTTTGGATGGCATGGAGAACCAAACCAAACCAGTAGTTGCCTTAACACAGGATTTCCTGACTTTTTTGAACTGATGGGGATGTTTGAATTTTTGAGAGTGTCACGATACTCTCAGAAATTGCTACCATGGCAGATGTAATCAAATGACCCATTTACCGGAAGACAAAATAGTAACATTATTTTCTGCCACTGTCTTTAGCCTCCCAGGATATTTTCAACCACATTGCCAACTAAAACTCTTGTTTATAGCCTCATAGCATTTTTCCCCAAAAATATCATTTGGATCTCTGTGGGGCCCAGCAGCATTATTGGAGATAGAGCTGGGATCCCCTTTGCTTTGTCCTATTTAATTTAATTAAACATATTTTTAAAAAAGAAATAAAAATAATTGGGGAAGGGGGAGAAGTCACCAAGCACATTGGTGTCCAGAGCAATCATGTTGTGAGCTCACTGCACAAACTATTTGATGACATTTTTTTTTTTCAAGTCCATAATACTTTACCACTTGTTAGCTAACCAGACTGTTTTGGTGCCAGCTACTGTCATTGAACTCACCCTATGTCATTAGTCCTGCCTGGTTGTCAGTTACAGTGTCTGAACTTCTACCATTTTTTCAGTCACAAGCCTTCCATTTCTCTTGCAGGTCATAATTAACTGTGAATACAACTGTGACGCTGTGAATCTGAATTTCAGATGAGACTTCCAAGTAAGGCCAACTATAGCTACTGGTTTGATCTTGCTTGGGATAAATTCACTGAAATGCAATACTGTAGCATGTTATTCATGAATAATGGAAATTGCATTGATTCAGCTTTAAGTATGACCCAATCCACTGGCTCAGAACATATTTTACAAAGCTATTTTGCCAGTGTGTAACTCTGTACCTGCATCCATACTTTGTCCTCAACCATGGTAAGTTAAATAATTATTGTTGGGATTCACACACATGACTAAGCCAAAATTAGACTATGGCTTGATATGATCTGTCAGCCCCCTCCATTGGTCATTTGTGGCTCGCTCATGAAGAGAATATCTTCTGTTCTTAAACTCCTACAGTTGTGAAGCAGTGGCTGTACTAGCTGAGAGAATCTGGAAGTTGGTTCAACATCTGATAGATACCCAGGTTGGGAAAAGTATCATTATCTCAGTGGTTGGATTAGCACAAGCTTAACTTGGTGAGTGATTTAACTAATTTTCTTGGTTTGCACGATTCTGAGAGTCATAAACTAACCAATAGACTCTACTAGACCACTCATTATGCGACTGTTCAAAGTTACTGTGGCACTGAATGAATGCTACTTATTCCCAATGCCCAAAGTTACGGCCATTGTAGTGCCCCCCGCAGTCATGTGATCAAAATTTGGGCATTTGGCAGCCTGCCCACACTTAAAACCACAGAGATACTTCAACTTCCCCCACCCGCCTATCTACCCCTCATCTCTGCCCTTTTGGCCACCCTGTACAGTGGCACTCCCCGAGGAGTGCCGCTATGCAGGGTGGCCAGAAGGGCAGAGGTGGGGGGTAGATGGGCAGGTGGGGGAAGTTCAGAAGGAGGCAGTCCCTTACCTTACTGAGGCTCAGGGCTGGGAGGGACCAAGTCATGAATGGCTTGGATCAGGATGGGTCCTTGCCTAACGACCGGTGGGATTAGGTTAAGGATGACTGTGGGGACTGCCAGGATTTCCATTACCAAGCGATGCGGTCATGTGATGTTGTACTTTACGACTGCATTGCTTAGCGATGGAAATCACAGTCCCAATTACTGTCATTCAACGAGGACTACCTGTATCATGCAAATGCTGCTGTTTAGTGTTTCAGTGACCCAATTAAGCACGTTGTACGAATTCAGATGGTAAGTGGCTATTTGCAGGCCAGGTTTTCATGTAACTTTATCAATAAGTGAACTTGTCTGCCTTTGCTTTCATATGATGCCTTTGTCTTGCTGTTACTTCTGGAATTTGAAATATCTCAGCATTCACCAGGTTGACGTGCCATGCTAAGCCATGTGTGTGTTTGTTTTGGGCTTAGTGCAATCTGTAAATCTGGCCACAGTTTAGTAACCATGGTTTTTGGATTAATATTATACGGGCCACTTACGGCCTATGCAGTTAATTATAGTTAAACCTGGGGATGTGCAAAACTTTTCAAGTTTGAACCATTCCAGATTTGAAACCCCCTCTTTCAATTGTAATTTGGGCTGTTTCTATCATTTTGGAAATGTTTCGGCTTCTCTGGAATGACCAACTCAGCTGCTTCCTGCTCAAAACGAGATGTTTTGAATTCAAATTTGGAATGTTTGCACCTCTCTAGTTAAAATGTTTAGTGCAATGCCTGAACTACTCTGTTGTCTTAACAGATGCCAGGAGAAAATGTGAGTTACAAGCCTTCCTTGTCAGAAAGATGTTGTCAAGAGAAGAACCTGAGCAGATGGTGCCCAAGGGACCTCCACTGGAACTGGAACACAGCAGAGTGGGAGTTGGCAATTTCACACTGGTACTCCCTGCCAAACCCAGCCCTATCTCCTCTAGTGAAGGCCAGAAACCATACAAGTGCATGGAGTGTGGGAAGGGCTTTGGCCAGAGCTCACACTTGATGCGCCACCTGGGGACACACTCAGGAGAGAAGCCTTACCGGTGTACAGACTGCCCCAAGGCCTTCACACAGTTGTCGAACCTGCGGCAGCACCAGCGCATGCACACCGGGGAGCGCCCATATGCCTGTGACTTCTGCGGCAAATGCTTCTCCTGGAGTTCCAACCTGGCTCAGCACCGGCGCCTCCATACTGGCCAGAAGCCTTACGCTTGCACACAGTGCGGCAAACGTTTTTGCGAGAGTGCTCGGCTTCTGGAGCACCAACGCACCCATACGGGCGAACGGCCCTATGCTTGCTCCCAGTGTCGGAAACGTTTCAGCCGCAGCTCTCACCTGGCCCGCCACCAGCGCCTCCATAATGATCAGAAGCCTTATGCGTGCATCCAGTGTGGCAAGCGTTTCTGTGACAGTGCTCGGCTCCTGGAGCACCAGCGCACCCATACGGGCGAGCGGCCCTATGCCTGCCCACAGTGTCGGAAACGCTTCAGCCGCAGCTCTCACCTGGCCCGCCACCAGCGCCTCCACACTGCCATGATGGCAACAGAGGAGGAATGAAAGGCACTTCTTTCCACTTGAACTTCCTGCAAGTAGGCTTTACACAACTGGTAGAACAGCCTGGCAACATTTGTAGGCATTTGCCTTTTATTCCTTCATCACTGGAACTGCAGAACATGCTGGCAATTTCTGGTTAACCATAAGCTTTACAAAGCACTCTGCTCGTTGGGGTAACAAGCCATCCTCAGTAAGAATAAATCCAGTCCATTTTCCCTTTCCAATGCTTGTTTCCATGTGCAAACCACTGCCTGCGAGTAATAGCCCAAGGAAGAAGTAAAACTTCCTAAAGATGTCTGAGCAGCCAGATTACTTGAGTGCTTGTACAGGCTTCCAGTAGTTTGCAGCTGGCAGGGTTGGGTGCAGGTCCTGGGTTAGCGACACAGTCAACCCATGTGTGTTAAGACTCGAGCTGAAAAGAGGCGGATTCTGATCATGCAGTCCTTCAGAGAATCTAAAGCAAAGAGGCACCACGTGTCTGTTGGCAAGCTCATTCTGTTGTTGCACGATGTGGCAGGAGGTATACAAACACACAGAAGGGGCTGAACTATGGCAGTTACTAAACTCTAAAGCTAGAGTTACTAAAGCTGCAGGAGGGGAAATGTCTTTGTTGTTGCAAATCCTACAGTGTATTCTCTGGGCAGGGTCACTCTTACAGGTGAGCAGGCTAGAGATTTGGCAGGGATACTGGTTTACAGAGCTGTGGTTAAGGCCTTAGGGAGGACGTGACCATCTGTATGTTTGGAGGCGAACAAGCATAGGTCTCCTCTGCAAGGCTGATATTTCCTGTTGTCACGGGGCATGACTTGGAAGCTTTTGAAAATCAGCCAGCCAGAACACTGTTTTAAAGAGAAAGTGATGGGTGTTTAAAAGGAAAACAACATGTCATCCCCCTTACCTCTTGATCAAATGTCCTGCATGCTAGTGTGAAGAGACATGGGTGAGGGGAAGAACCCTAAAACAAAGCAGCCAAAAAAGTCTCCTGATTGATTGATTGATTATGTGCCATCAAGTCATTGTTGACTCCTAGCAACTACATAGATAGATCTTCTCCATGACAATCTATCCCTAACCTGTTCTTGAAGGTCTCCTAATGGTGCCCCAATCACCACTGTAACTGAGTCCATCCACCTTGCTGCCGGTCATCCTCTTCTTCTCTTTCCTTCCACCTTCCTCAGCATCAGAGCCTTTTCCAGATCGCTGGGTCTTCACATAATGTGTCTGAAGTAGGATAATTTGATCCTGGTCATTTGTGCATTTGTTATTTGAGTAGCACAGAAATGCTAAGCCACAGTGTGTTCACGACTCATTAGGACTTTGGGTTATGAGAAAACTTGTCAAACAAGACAAACTACGGTGTTTGGTGTGAATGTAGCTACCATCACTTGTCAGTGCCTGGAGGCATTGATATGGGAGTTCCTTGGGCTTTGGGAAGATTAAGCCCTTGGATACTGTCAGATGGACAGCTTCTAGTGTTTCCAACCAAAAGGCATTTTGCAGCCATTGCCAATTTTCCTCCTCGGCAGCTATTTTCCTGAAGAGGAAGGAAGCTGAAAAGTAGAAGGGCATGGAAGGCTGAGGCAGCAAAGGTGATGGAGTCCAGGAGCTGATCATACAGTAAAAACTAGATTTGAGGGCATACTGACGCATCTTCCAGAATGGGATCAGTTTTGTACAAGGAAAAAATCTTAATAACCCTCCAACTACAGTATTCAGTTAGTGGCTCAATCATTTAATGGGCTTCATTAAAACAACCACTATAAGGATGCTGTGCAGATTTTAAAATCTTTGTGCTCTTTGCACTTGTTCAACTCAGAGTCTCAAAGCTGGGGAAGGGAGAGGCTAGCTTGTCAGGATGATCACAACTCTTCCCTAAACTTAATAGTGTGTTTTCAGTGTCTCTGATCCTCCAACTCTTCAGGAAAACACAATCCACATACCCAGCAAGGGAGGAGTGGAGAATCACTGTAGAAGGAAAAAACTCTGAGTCCATCAGATGTCACCTGCTATGCACAGAACCAGCCGGGTTATTCCTAAAATGAGACTGAGAACTATTCCTTCCGGCTTGCTTGCCTGCTCTGCAGTGACGTTATCCATTTATATCCTATTTGTATTTTTTCAGGACGACTCCCACCCTTTTTTCCCCCCTTGCAGTACAAAACCTGATTTTTTTGAGAGAGCACCATCTCTGCAGGTGCTTTCAGCCCAGTGTTTGTGACTATGAGGATGTAGGCTAGAATACAAGGCCAGTGAGCCTCAGCAGGTGTTCAGTATATGTGGGAGCAAGGCACATTTTATCATCTGTTGAAGTAAAAATGGTTTTTTGGAATTTTTTAAAAGTAGCATTATCACAGCAAAGAGTATTGAAGAATAACTTCCTGGCCTGGGTGTTGTGGGGTGGGGGGCAGGCAAATGATGACACATGTACCATGCTCTTACTGGGATATTCAATTTATGTACTTGCATCAAAGGTACATAACAGGTAGTCTTTGTTTAGTGACTGCCTCATTTAGTGACTGTTCACAGTTACGACAGTGATGAAAAAGTAACTTTGCAACCAAGCCTCACTTTTAGAACCTTTGCAGGTCTGTAAAGCAAAGGAAAGCTGAAGGAGGATCATAAGCACAGTTGTGGTTTCACTTAGCAACCACTTCGCTTGATGACTGAGTTGCTGGCCCCAGTTATGGTCACTAAATGAGGACTACCTGTTATAAAATTGTGTATTTTTTCAGTAATATTACGATGCACGTGTCATCATTTTGACATAATTATGGCTTGTTACAGTCACCACTCTTCCTGCTACAATTTTATACATACAGAATGATGGATTAAACATTTTCCAAGCACTACCATTTTAGCAAGAGGTATTAGTGATTGGCTACATAAATGTATTTCTTCTATATTTTTAAAACAGCATTGCCAAGATACTGTGATACGCTTCAATTATGCCATTTAAAAAAAACAACCCACTAATCACTTTGATAAAATGGCAGTTACTACAGAGGTTTTAGCTTTTTTATTAAAGTGAGTGCTGTATGTATGTATAAGTGTATAGTGTGTATAAACACTAAGCTTATACACTTAAGTGGCATTTTGCATTGTTTGTTGATGGGTGATTTAGAAATGGTGCCGCTGTAAAGGTTTTGCTGAATGCTTTCTGAGCAATTATGGGTTTAACAGTCTGATAAGTAACTAACCATCTCCAAACTTCATACAAAAAAAAGCAGGGTATCAGCATACATACAGAAAAAGAATTACAACTCAATATGGTCTAGGAAGTCAGTTGCTATTCTAATCTCTGTCAGCCCTTCAGGGTAGACTGACTAGGAAACCAAAGTTATGGATGCTAATACTACTATTACTATATAGTTACAGTAACAGAATCTTGCAAGCCTGAATATGCCCCCCCCACACACACACCAATTCCTTTATTCTCATGAGAACCAAGGAGGGTCTTGTCTGAGTTGCTTCCTCAAATTACATTTCTGCCCCAGTCTCAGGTTTCATTTATCTGACCAGTGTCTTGGTTGCGGCCCTTTCTCCTGTTCCTCAAGGTTATTCCTTCTTCCCATTACAGTCTCTGTGTCAGATCCTTCCTCCAGCAAGCCCATATTGCTAACCCTCATGCACAGCTCTCAAGGATTTTAGTGTAAAGTTTTCCTGCCCTACATGGAAACAGAGAGCCCGTTTGGTGTCATGGTTAAGGCACCAGGATAGAAACTGGGAGACCGTGAGTTGAAGTCCCCCTAGGCACAAAGCCAGCTGGGTGACCTTGGGCCAGTCACCCTCTCAGCCCTAGGAAGGAGGCAATGGCAAACCCTTTCTGAAATCTTGCCCAGAAAACTGCAGGGACTAGTCCAGACAGTCACAGTGACTTGAAGGCACTTTTTTTTTTTAAAGACCTGGAAATGCCAGGGATCCAACTGGGCTTACTGCAAGGTAAACTCTTCTTTAGAACATCTTACATGATATACCCCAAAATACATAACCATACTCTGATGGTGCCTTTCTGGAAGATGGGAATTTGCATGCAATGGATCTAAAGGGAAGACATGTTGGAGTTGGTGTGTAACAGTTTAGCTATGTATTTTTCTCCATTTACAGACAGATAATATGTAATTCTATGATAAACAGAAACTGAAGGAAATGCTTAAAGCTTAAAAAGCCCTAAAACTCTAAGGGGGAAAAACCAAAACAATGTGCCTCTGCCCATGTACTGAATACAGTACTGCCTCACCCCACTTGCTCTTCTACCTGCTATGGCCTTCATGCCTACAAAACAAATTATGTGCAGCCTCCTGTTATGTATGGTTATTCTTCAGAGAAAGTTTGAAAAACAGATCCAAGGAATGACATGAAGAGTTTTATTCTTTGGTTAACAATAAAGGCTCCTGTTAATAACACAGCTGCCTCTATTTATTCATCTCCGGGGGTACACTTAGTGACACCGGGATAGTCAAATTGCTGCAATAATTTATGCATCATACATGGAGTAATCCTTTACTCCAGAGTAACCCAATGTCATTACTTACGCCTTTTCGGTTTTCTAAATACTCTTCCACTCGACATTGTCACTGATTTTACAAAATCCTGATCTACGTCTCTAGGATCAGTAGCAATATTTGGTAGTGTTTTCAATACTTCTCATTCTGGTTCTTTTCCAAACAATAATTGATTCTAGCTAATTGTAGATTCTAGCTAACCGGTAGAATTTCCAGTTCCTATAAAAAACAATGTCATCATTAATTTACACAATGCAATAGTATTTTGGGCTTTTCTATGACTTGAGCAGGGTTCCATGGTGTTACTTTTGTTCCCTTATATAATTGTTTTTCTTATTATTTCAGTCTCAAATGTTCTGTCACATTTCCTTGGTCATCTTCAGTCTGTAACAAAACTGCCATGCATAGTCTTGGTTTAAAAGTCTACCTATTAAAAGTCAGATTAGTGGTTTGCCAACCACCACTGGATTATTTCTATAAGCCAAAAAAGTAAGATATATCTGATGTTTAACTTTGACTTATTAAACACCATTTTAATAGTTTAGGATGTACCATTGGGCTGAGGTAATAAGGATTGCAAGTAACATGCATAAAATTCCATTCCTCTGCACTGTTTTAAGGACTATTATTATTTACAATTTTCATGTCTGACAGATATAAATTTAAATATATCATAACAGCATTACTAGCAAGCTTTTCCAAATGACATATTTCAAAGTATTATGAATAATGGTCCATCAGTTGCAAAATACTGTTCACCTTGAAATTCAAATAGATCAGTCCCTATTTTCTGCTGTGGTCTTATGGGTACTTTATGCTCTTCCAATGTTCTCCATAGTTTTTACTTCCATACGTTTGACATACTGTACATATTTGAATTATAGCTTCTGTTTGAGTGCATATATCTAGCCAACAGATTGCATCTCTAGCTGATTGCTAATGATCCTCAGGAACTTGAACATTTCAATTCTTAATGTCTGTGATGCTACTTTATAATCATTCATAAAAACTATATCCCAATAAACACTTTTCTCTTTAGTTCTAATAAAGTTACACTTCTTTTAGAAGATACCTTTTTCTGAGGTCAGCCCTATAAAATAATTTCTTTTTCCAAGAACAATAAAATATCCTCAAAATCTCTCAACTTATAATGAAAAGCAGGCAAACGAAGTATCAAAAATACTACTAACTGAACTTCTCCAGTATCAAATCGTTCCTATGTGTTAGACTCTGGGCAAAGTGTTAGTGTTACTAATTCCCGATAACCTGCAACTGGTATTTCTACAAGTTTAATAACTATTTTTGCATTCTACAGGGGCTCTATATATTGGTTTTTAAAAATGGCTCCTAAGGATTTACAATCTTTTTTCCCTTCACTATTGTCCTGTAAATGAACTGTTGACATCTTGTATAGCTGAGCCCCAAGGCTAACCTTTCCTTCTCAATTTGAGAATAATTCTGCTGTACAGCCATTACAGCTTTAGAACCAGCCATATGCTACTGGTAAACTATGTTGAATCAATACTGTGACCAAGCCAAGCATTAACAGAAGCAGTCACCATTCGTCAACATCCTACATATATCTTAGAGGTAATGCTTTGATTTAACCAAAATTTTCATCCCTGACATTTCACTTTCCAGCCAACAGTTTTAAATTAATCTTGCTTTGCGGA